TCACCCAGGAGTCCTAAGAAAAGGTTTCCAAAATTCCGTCTCACGTCATGATGTTCTCGTAGGAGGATACGTGTGTCGGAAACAATGAATCCGAATTTCGAGGATAAACTAGAAAAGATGTGATACAAATGGTATGTGATGCGAGATAACAACTTTTGAATAAATAATGCCTTTATAACATATAAGTTAGAAACGCAAACTATATTATGAAACAAGATTACTCGCAAGAAGTTGGAGCAATGCGGTTTTAATGTTTGAGAAATAAATAATGTTTAAGAGTAAATATTCGTTTATCTCCTGTAAAGATTTGTCTAAAATTCAGATAAAAAGGTTTATTTTGTGACTGAAAAATGTGTCATCAGTATATATCATCAATGTACCAATCTATCAATTTTGCGCGCCGACCCCAATGAACCCAGTCAATTATGGCATTTCTTCGCAAAGATCTTTGAGAAAAGTCCTGTCGCATCCCTCGTATATTCTTCCCCCATGGATGAACACGCGGTACGCGCCCCGGAAACGATGAATTTGCGAGTCTCAAGGGTGGATAATGGTTGATGCGGTACACCGTTGTAAACGCGCGGTAGTGAGAAGAAGCGGAGCGCGGTGACTCGGGCGAATTTGTGAAACGATTATAGAATCTGCCCGAGCGCATGCCCTCGAGGGGCGGCGGAGGTGTAGGCCGAAAATGGGGATCTCTAGGAACAACCCTCCGCCGTCGTATTGTTGCTCTCTTCGGCGGTTCACGCCGAATGAGTTTCGTACGACGATATAATGGCGCATCGCGACGATGAACTGGCAGGTTTCCTCTTTCGCGTAATGACGGATGCATTTTGAATACGACAATAACGGGCAATTAATGATAATGTAGTTTTCTACGACAATAATATATCGTGATATCAGCACTTTTTTTTTATACGAACGTGATGATTTCTCTTCACGAATTACAAACAAACATGTTTTTTAGTATCTGTCAAAGAAGCACTTAGAAGAGCACATGTATTAATTGTTTTGTGTTAAATATTATAACAAAGTTTATTTTATTATAAATATTTTTTAGAATTAGATACAAATTATATGGATAAATATAGATAAGTAATGGAATTGTGTTTTAATCACAATTTGATTTTAATATAAATTTTTATAAAACAGTTGTATCTATGAATTAATTTTTAATATTGTCTTATATAATACAGCACAAATACATTGAAAATGTAGATTGTAATTATTGCGAAAAAAAATTTAATTCCATCACGGCAATCTCTAATATCAAATAACTTTTGTAACTTGATCGAATACTTTCATCATCGAAAGTTTCTCAGTGTAGATAAAATCGAATAAGTTCAGTCCGCTGGAAACATAATTGCGATTTATGTCTTGCCATTGTTCGAGGGGACCGTCTGCTCACTTGGCCCCCTTTTGCGAAACACATTTTGCGATGCCTAAGTGACTGTAGGAAAATCTTCAACTTACCCCTAGCCCGCCGCCCATTCGCCCAAGCGAGCCGGAAATGATGAATTTGCGAGTCTTATCGCGAGGAAGAAACGACGCTTCATGACAGTGCGAGAACGACAAATAAATAAGCTGTCTTTACGAGCGAGAGACAATGCTCCCGGGGACGTAATCCTTGGCGACTCACCCTCTTTTGACTACGAAATCTCTTATCGAAAATGACAGAACCGTGAAAGCAAAATTACACCTCTCTTTTTAGGGAGTCATTGTGCCACATAGGCTACCGAAATGACAGCTGACCAAAATTATAATTCCCATTATGTTTCGAGATAGGTCTAGATCGAGGGCTCGATAGCAGAACGAAAGCATATTTTCGAGCTAAAAAGAGTCAAGTCATTAATCAAAACGACTGCTGGTTGATTGTGGCTATTGTATGTAATGCACGCTTGGAGACAATTAGCGACGACTAGGAGGATTTAACACATTTCTCACTATTCACCCAATTCGAAGTTTAAGCAAACTTTGCGATGCAAATACCGGTGGCGTTAAGCGAACGTTGCAGTGTCTTATCACGATGCTCCTCCTTCCTAGATACAGACTTCAGCTTGAATGTACCGTTGAAACTTATCGCAATTTGTAAGCTCGACCTCTTACGTGTGAATTTTCGAGAAAACGAGAAGAGAAGCACTTCGCATACTATCGCGCACATTAAAGTTGGAACATGAATGTTAATTTCTACAAGCACACAATCAAGCAATAGTGCTTAAGAAAATACAGTTTAATTATAATATAAAATTATTAATTGAAATTTCATAAATTTACAGATCTTTATTTATTACTCTTATTTATTGAAATCGAAATAAATTTAACGAAATATAAGTGAAGAATTCCATGTGTTTTCCACTTTATATAAAAAGAACATGCTTTGATATTCGAAAAACCTACGTCAATGGGAATTTGCAGCCAGCTGAAAGCTCCTGAAACAGTCTTTTTAAAAGAAATATAAATATTAAAAACATTTTTTTCGAAGTTTATTGCAAGGTATTTATTATGTCTATTTCAGGATTGTCGTACTTCAGTGCGTAGTTGGATCTGATCGTTCTGCGGTGTATAGAAAGATATCATATAAAAGCAGCTTAAAGTCCTTCTGAGTTTATTTAAGAGGGGGAGAGGTAGAGCAAAGCAAAACGCGCTGGCGAGATCCTTTAATTGACCGCACGCAAGAACTCATCCCCGATGAGTCTTAGGCCAATTAAGGAAGTTCCTCCTCCGTTGGGAAGGTTTGTAACCTTTCCGCGTCCTTGCGCGGACTATTACAGAAATTAACGGATCTCTCCTCGGTTCCTCGAACGGTGCATTTGCATTATCCGCGATAAAATAATCATCTCGCTCAAATTTGGCCGAAGGTCATTAACGAAATTTCAAATTTAATGGTAAAGGTAATTAAAATAAATAGTAATTTATTTTAATGATAAAAAAAAAAATACCGAAAGTGGAATAAATTTAATGGCAAAGGCAAAATCTAATATAGGATTTATTTTTACACGAAACGGTTATTTTTTTAACAAATATTACTTCGAAATATAATTTGAGGAACTGGGCCATCGAAAATAAATTCTACAAATAATAGCTAGATGAAAGTCAGAATGTATAAACGCTTCTAGTCATTTTTTTTTGGGACGTCTTCGAAAATTTATACTGTATTTTTTTTGTATGTTCTTCTGACATCTACCAACGGCAGAAATGGCACGGAAGTTTTTTACTGCGCGGGAACAGAGGAGATCGACTTTTTCCGCCGGCAATTTGCAGCGGTTTCAATTTTCGTGCCATTGTCGATTACGTCAGACGCGATCAGCGTCACACGCGAGCTACTCGCTTGCATCAGCATGCGTAGCTTGGTTTACTATCTCGAGCCCGCTTTTTTAATCCGTATTCAATTATTTTCGCGGCATCCACCGCTCCGCGGTTTCAGTATTTACGAGATCAACTGTTACATAGCGGCGCGCTCTTGCACCCAGTGAAAAAAAGAGAATTATTTAGGCGAACTGGGCCCCCGATCCCGTATTTCGATTACACGGCTCGTTCATCGCATTGTGCTTGCATTGGAATATATATATATTTTTCATTTTTTACCGACTGTTTGATTTTTCTCTTGTGAAACGCTTACGCTGTCAATTTGACAATCGGTAGTAGCATACACCTGTGCAGGAAGCGATTGCCTGCCGATACAATATGAACGCAAATCCATTATCGTCTCACTTAATCCGCGTGAAACGGAAATCGACCGTCAATTGCGGGCATTCGTCGCGCTTTAAGCTCCGTATAGTTAACCGTATGTAATCACGAATCGTTGCTTCTCCACGCGACTCGAGAAATTTCCACGGACTTAACGAGTAGTTCCAGTTGCGGCCCACCGTAAATTCGATAATGATTCCCTCGTTGCGCCGTCATTTCCACTCGTCAGATAGTCCGAGCTTTACGTGCGCGAAGTTAACGAGCTAATGAGCTTGCAGAGCTGGGAGAGAGAGAGAGAAAGAGAGAAGGAGGGAGAGCAGGCGAGCATCTATTCTGCATTACGCCGTTGATGCAGTTTACGTCCGGACGACGCGGGACGAGAAGAGGAAGAGGATGAGGAGGACTAGGAGGTCACGGAACGTTTCCCAGTTAGGGCAATTCCGCACTTTCGCTCACCGCAATTAATTAGCTCAATTCCCGCTTCCTGTTATGCCTCTGCCACTACGCCGAGTCGCGTCGTGTTGACGCCGAGGGCATCCGTCGTGCACGCATGCATTCCGACGACGCTAACATACCGTTGTCATAGTTCACGTACGCATCTCGATCCCTGAAGGCACTTTCTGGCGCGCTACGCGAACCATGAGCGTCGAGACGTCGCCGATCTGCCTCTCCGTATTGTGCATTTACGTGATGACGGCGCCGCCGCCACCTCCGCTGCCGGAGGCGGTGTCGCCTCGTCCGACTCGTGTGGGTAAGAGAGATTGTAATCACGCGGGATTATCTCTCTCCAGGGAGTTGTTCCAAATTGTGTGATCTTAAGAAATAACAGAGGTTAATCTTTATTTGCCCAGTATGTTGTAATGAATTTAATTCGACAAAGGAGGAAGATCTATAAGGCTGCTTTTTGGCCTTATCTTCTTTTGACGAAATATCTGGAAATTTGGTTGTATTAGTAAATAGGTATATTAGTAAATAATTATTTTTCTCTAATTATTATATAGATTTTAATATATATATATATATATACATAAAAAAAATAATATCGAGTGTTAGCTTATTTTTATAACTAAAAGTTGTGGGCATATGTAGGATAAGTGCCCGCTCTTGTATTTTTTACATTTATGCAAAATTATAATTATAGGTATAATTATTATTAGGATGAGCATTATAATACTCCGTTAATTATCATTATCGAAACCAGTATTTTCCGTTGATTTTTACGGACTGCGATCGTTTCACATGCAAAAATGTATACACGCACACACTCGTCTTTTTTGTCAGCATAATAACGTTTGATTTTTTTCTTGTTACAGCTTACGCGAACGCTGCTGATCCATACTTGGACATCTTACCAAACGGTGAGACGCAGACAAAGCCGATTGGCTCCAGCATCATCCTTACGTGTAAACCGAAGGTAGACGATCCGTCACTTATCTCTGATATGCAATGGCTCGATCCACGGAATCTCGTGATTGAACCTCTCAAGTAAGTCGATTACCACACCGACCATCTCTTCTTCCTTTCTACTTATAGAAATAATATTTTCACGATGACTCTAAAGTAATCACGTCAACAGCGCTTCTCTGTCTATATTATAATTAGCAATTGAGAAGATGACAGTTTAATTAATCGGATATATAAGCTTCAACATCGCACTAGTGCTACGATCATTTTCTGAAGAGTTGTTACAGGCAATTATAAGAATGATGAATTGAGACACTTCCTTTTTTGTATCGTTGATATTTATATATGAATTGCTGTATTAATCAATTACATTTCAGCGAACAATGCATTTCATGTCGCACTTCGTTAAAGTATTTGTGAAATTATTTGAATTGTATTAAAGTAAAAAAAAATTTAATATTGTAATGAATTATTAAAATATAATTTTGAAATGGCGTTTCTTTCGATTAAAATCACGAGTAAAATGTTAAAATCTAATAATAATTAATATACATCATGATGTCTTTAATAATTTTGGAATAAAAAACGTAATTTTAATTATTATTTATGATATAAATCCATAGAGAGCGCAAATTTAAGGCGAAAAAATTTAAAGATGTATTTAACAGTATAAAAACACACATTAAACACAAACAGAAGGGAAGCTTGTTGTAATACTAATTCACGAATTTCTCTGTCACTTGCATACACAGGTACGTCGTCTTACCGCTCAGGCGAGTATAAAATCTATTGAAGACCTAAAACTAAAACATGCAACCGTAGTAGTGCTCGTTTGTTTGCTGCTCCCTCCTCTTTCCACCTTTCTCATTTACGGATACATTCGCCCGTCACTTCGTGGCCTCGAGTTTGATACAATCATTTTCCCACGATGTAACCACGTTTCCCGCAGCAGTCCGCACCACGGAGCTCTTAATTGCTGCAACGCGAACCGATTGCAGTTCGTGAACCGGCTATTGCTCGTTAAGCCGGAAAAGTTTCGAACGGTCGGTCGTACTGAACCTGACTTATATTGAGCGCCTGCATGCCGAAACGAGGAAACTCGTTGGTCGGGAAAAAAAATTCATGAAATGAATTTTTCGTTTACACGTTCGCGCACCGAGTAATCTAGAGCCATTCCTTTAATGTTTCTGTTAATAATTTGAATTCTATTTTAATTTATTGCAACAAGAAAGAAAAAAATTGATTTTGACGATACGTAAATTTTTGAGCATTGAGTACATAAAGATTGAATTAATGTTTTAACTTGTAGTCTCAAAGTAAAATATAAAACCCTTTGTGTGTTTAAATTTATTTTATGTTTATTTATACATCCTTGAAAATTTATTTGCTGAAGCTTTCTAGTTGCGGATGTTAACTAGCTTTGTAATTAAACTGCTCGAGCTCACAGAATTAAAAATGAAACACGATATTTCTAGGGTACTGCGCGTGTGTATGTATGAGCGTGTGCATCAGCAGTAATTAAGCAGCTCCATAATGGCGCAATTTTGCGCACTCTCGCAAACATTATTTCATCCTCATCTGCAATATTTATGTCTTTATACGTGCAAGTCTGTCGATATCGTTAACAGCTGATATATGTACCGCGTGTCGCTCATGTTGCGAAGTATTTAATCCAGCGATCAAATAATCTAACGAACGTTAACCCTGGTAACTGATTCGTCGTGTCGCGTGTTTGCACGATTACTCGATCCCCGAGTACGATTTGCATAATTAAGTACATTCGTCGTCAAGAGTGCCGCATGTTACATTCCTGTACAAAATCGCCCCGATTCGAGCAATTTGCGCCACTCGATTATGTGTTCTCCATAATGCCATTACATTAATACAGGCTGTTACGCGGATCGATACGTAGAGATAAATTAAACCGAAAAATATTAAAAAATTGTTATAATGCACTCTCGGCTACTCGGCGATAAATTAATTTTTGTAAAAATTCTTTAGATATAGAGTTGCGTTTCAAGACCGACGATTGTTCGGCGCGCAAGTTGGTGGGGGTGGGAGTAATACATATATTACTGTGGATAAATATTGCGAAGAATATTACCACGTCGACCCGCCATCAGAGATCTATCGATATTCGCAAATTCTCGCAAGTGCTTTGAATTGAATAACTCTTACAGGCGTATAAGATAGGCTTTCACTACAATGCCTTACTGATGAGTCCAGTAGTGGAAGCTGGGACGAAACGCCATAATTACGTGATATTCTTCGCAATATATTAAATTAATTTAACAAGATTTTTAACGTAATTTATTGACCTGTTTCTCTATATTATTTGTTATAAACATATTGAATCTTATTACAATCTACATTTTAATTTTTGTATGTTTAAAATATTTATTCGAGATATTAAATTCGATGCATTTGCTTTTGATGATTTTCCATTTTCTGAAGATGAAAACGCGGTCGCACAGCAGCCACGCTTTTGATCCTATCACCTCTAGCCACCTTCTTAATCCGCAAAATCCATATTCGTAACCTTCATCGTCGACGTCACACGATATTACATCCGGTATCTCATTGCTCGATACATTATATGGAAATTGCTAGAATACATCATATCATATATATACCTATACCTATACACGCATCATACGTCGATACGCCATGCCATACTGTGCAACGTTGAATAATATGAGGTCATGTGAATGCATCTCATTGTCGTTTACACGTCATTCTCGCGTCATTCACGAAGAACATGTATGAACGCAATAATGTCATGTGACGTCATTGATCATTACTATCAATTTGGTGTGCTTTATCCGATATTGCGAGTTGTTTGGTAAATTGTGATGTTATTCTCCACAGCCCGAGAGGTATTACGAAGCCACCCATGTACACCGAATTGCACCAAGATGGTAGACTGTCCCTGTACTTTAATTCCCTTCAGGAGCAACAGGCCGGAACTTACACGTGCAAAGGAATTTATGCACGTAATGTGCAGTTAAGCAAATCTGTGACAATCGATACTATTAGTGAGTATAGAATTAAAAGTCCTGACGCATTTTAATTTTTATACGAACTTACTCCGATACAGAATAAAATGTCTCTCAGCGAGGTGTATCGAATAATACTTAATTAATACCACAGTGAAACGATCAAAGAATTTTTTCGATTAAAATGTCATCGGAAATCGTTTATAACTTTTTAATAAGGCAGATATATTGTAGAATGTCAAATAATGGATACTTTGTTATAGTTAATATTTTTGGTATATGTACAAAATTGTCAATTTTTATTAAAAATATTAGTATATTTAAAATTAATTAGATAATATGCACGTTTTTCTTTTCGTGAGATTGATGTATCGCAATATTTTTCCAAACAAAATTTTCGATTTGTGATTAATAGTTGCGATCACGTGGGAGAATGCACCGCCAAATCAGTATCCTATTCTTGGGGAAGACTTTGATGTTCATTGTCAAGTACGCGCTAGGCCGTCACCTTCGGTTGATTGGCTTTTCAATGGAAAGCTGATCAAAACGGACGATCACTATATCATAAATACTTACTCCTTGAAGATCAAGAATGTTCAAGAGCGCGACGATGGCATATACACATGTCGGGCATCGGTACAGACCACGGGAGAATTGCAAGAGCGACCTATCCGCGTTGAGGTACTACAATTAATATTTTGATTAATTGCATTGATTAAAAGAATCGTAAATAATTTCAGGAGCTTATAAACATTTTTATGGATTGAATAATTGTTACATTATATTTGTTTGTTATACTCATTATTTATTGTACTCTAATGGTTTTATTACAACAATATTAGTTTTTAATTTAATTTCCATTCCACGCTAATTTTTTTATGTATTTTTATGTATTTAATACACTTGTATTATTATATTTTAATATATGTATTTTTTAATTGTTAATAATTTTTAGAGATTATTGTGTTAAAAAATTTTTAATAATAAATAAGTATATTAACAAAAGGATCGGAAACAAATAAATTAATATAATTTGGTGAATATCTTTTTTACGAGCCAGCACAGGTTATTGGTGTACAATGTTTTATTTCTTTAAAAATTCGAAAGTAAAAAATTTAAATGTGTATTTTTTTCTTAAAAAATTTTTTTATTAATTTTGTTAATTCTTATTATTAGGTACACATACGACCTACGATCACTGAGTTTACGAAACCAACAGATGTCATCGAAGGTGAAAACGCAAACATTCAGTGTCATGGCGACGGCAAGCCATCACCAGTAATCACATGGGTTAAATCTCTAACCCAACAAAACCTGTCTATGACCGATCGCTTCGGTGTTGATCCGGTCTCGGGTATACTCACCATCACAAATGTGAACCGCGAAGACGCGGGTGAGTATCAATGCATGGCGACAAACGCCGCAGGTACCGTTACTGCCACCACTCAAATAAACGTGATCATCAAGCCGAAAATCATGGAGTTTATAAACAAGACCGTGGTGGAGGGTAAAAGCGTGGACATTCAATGTAAAGCCTTCGGTCGGCCACCACCCAAAGTGAGCTTCAGGAAACTCACTCTCGACAAACCATACGCGGATGGCGCTCAGTCGGACGATGACCGGATTATCGTGAGGAACAAACCAGACGACACGTCTAGTGATGTGACTGTTGGCATTTTATCAATCACTAACGTACTCACTGACAACGATGGCCTGTACGAATGCGTGGCGGAAAATATCGGCGCAGTCGCCTACAAAAATGGTCATTTGACTGTGGAATTCCCGCCCTCCTTCCGCAACATGCCGAACATCACATACTGGTCCTTTGAATCGCGACCGGTTAATCTTACCTGTATCGCCGAGAGCATACCAAACGCGACGATACGTTGGACCTTGCACGAACAAAAGATTGATACTGACCCTTATCTCCAGCAAATTGGTAACGGGCCGATTTCCATTCTTCAAATAAGACCGATCGACCGGAGGTATTACACGCATTATAAATGCATCGCTATGAATCCTCACGGCACGCGAGAACATTTGATCGAATTGAGGGAAGCGACGAGACCCAGCGAGCTCTTAAGTGTCAAAATGATCGAAATCACTGCTACGACGATAAGATTTGATCTGATACCACCCCCGCATCCAGATTTGCCTGTCGTCACTATTACCGTGCAGTACAAAGAGGAGTTACATACCTGGCAAAATGCGAAGAACAAAACGTGGTCTGTCGGTAAGTCTCATATTCTTTTAATGTTAACGAAATCGGTAAAAAAGTTAAGTTCTTAATATTTTCGCAAGAATATCTGTATTAACAAATTGACATAAAAACGTAATTTTTTTTAAATTAACGAATTAATCATCTCACATACATTTGAGAACATTTATTGCTATATTTTGTTCTTGAATACGTACATACTGAATTATGATTAAAGGATATAAAATTTAATTAAGATCTCTCTCTTTCAACTAATTAATTTTGTTTATATAAAAATATAAAATACGAAAAAATAAGGAAATCCAATTTATAATTTATGATATTTATCTACAAGTATATAGAATAAATCATTTGATACAAAACGTACATTAAAGTCATACACGCTAAAATTATGCTATAATTTTAATTATTTTTCTAGGTTGTTTTTCTTTACGTAATTTAACATATAATTAAACGTCACGCAAACAATGCCCTCTAGGTTCCGTGTACGTCATCGAGGGTTTGAAACCGCAGACAGCCTACGACTTCCGATTTGCGGGGAGGAATGAGGTTGGTCTGGGTAACTTTGGTAATTTCCACCGAGAGATCACACCCGGCAGAACGGTGCCGAAAGATCCGAGAATTCTGTCCACTCCAGGCTTCGAATACGAGAATTCTCAGTACAGTCACCAATATGAGCTCAGCTGGGTGACGCCGCCCGACAATGGCGAACCCATAGATAAGTACCTGATCAAGTACTGTGAGATAAGACGTGTCGTTGGTGACTGGGAAATATTGGACGATACCTGCCAATCGATAGAGATCAAATCCCCGGGCAGGACGAGGCAATACCTCAAGGACTTGAAATACGATACTTACTACATAGTCGAGCTGCAGGCTCACAACGTGATGGGCTTCGGCAAACCTGGATACGTCAAGTTCAGGACGGCTAGAGGTAAGTTAGTGGCTCTTGCAATTAATTCTCGGTGTTCCTACGATCCAAAATAATTATTGTCATGACGTATTTACATTTCTCGTAATAATTTCCACTCGAGATATATTTAATTCCCTTTGAAATATATGTGCACGAAGCTACTGAATATTTTTTTTCTTCGCGATCTCTTCAAATCGTTTGTCAGTTTGTCGCCCCTATTTTGTTCATTCAAGGGGGAGGGAAAAGGGTTATTTGAGGTCTTTCGTTTCCTCGTCTAGGAGGTTTCCACTCAGTTAAACTATCTTTTTTTTTTATTAATTTTTTTTCAATAACTTTTTTAATTGGTTCTGTCGACGGCGGAAACAATCTTGTAATCGTCAGAAAGGTCTAAATGGCTATTTTGCTCGCTAAATATTTCAACACCATTTATTTTAAGCAATCATGCGTTCCATAAGTTTCCATAAATGTGTATAATATTTTACACCTTCATTTTTTTAATATATTTCTATAGGAATAAACCATTCTTTTACGCGTTTAATATATACTCGTGATATTAATTTTGGTGTCGTGATTATAATTTTTATGCATAACTTGCCTTCTATTTTCCGCGGAATGGAAAATTATTTTTATAAAATTACCAAGCCCCCGGCCCTTCTGGCGTTAATCGAGATTACAGGATTTGAAGAAGTCCTCAAATCCCTTGACCCTATGCAAGACACCAGCTAGCTAAAGCTACCCGGTGACCGTCAGCGGGTCTGTAAAGACATTAAAAATATTTTACCCGACGACGACATACTTGAAGCGGGGAAGTTCTTTTTTATTACACAGAGCCTTTTTATCCATTCAGGATCGGGCATCACTGTGGACTACAGTAATGCTGGTGATACTTGCAAAACCGACGTCGCCATTACCGCAGCAGTAATGCTCCTATCTCTAGCCATTTAGAGTCGCCGTCAGGGATATTTGCTCCTCGCGCTCTAATCCTCCCTCCGTCGTGAACGCACGCGATAGGAAGCGAGGCGAATTCGCGAGGTCGACATGTACAAGCGAGACACCACGATGGACGAAAGTGACACATACGCTCCACTAATATAACACACCCTTTTTCGTGATTTCCTACGACTCGTGTTTCGTTCGAATCAGATCGAATTACCTAGGAATCTCGGATATGAAAGCGTTTTCCGTTAAAATGGTTTCGTGCGAGGCACGACGGCGAAAATTAATCGCGGGACAATTGTACTACACGATAGTATCTGTTCATTTATATATCCTTTTAGCAGTAAACGATCGACAACGAAGAATAAATTGATACGTTCGCCGGTACATTCCGAGAGTAAAGATATGGCGTTCAAGTGAGTTTCTTTAGGAAGAAACAACGTGAGAGAAGTCGCTATGCGAAATGTATTTATACCGTATTATTTGTTGAATGCTCACTGCGTGTTAGTATAAACGTACTGGTACGTTTATTTTCATTTTTCTTTTTCATACATAAGTTAAGACTGTACTTTGGTAATTTTTGTAAGTACTGCAGTGCGCAAAGATAATATTTCCTTGCACCGTCTCGAAAACAAGGCGTACAAGGAAATTGAAAACCTAACCAAAAAACGAATGTGCTGTACCAATTATTTCGCGTGTTATAATTTTCATTTGTTAATTAAAGTCAGATCCGCACTTTTAAAAAGAACTAAGATAAGTCACACGACTACGCTTCGTCAACGTTTGCAGTTTACGAACTTTTGTATGGTATGTTATATCGATAGATACAAGAAGAATGTGCTTCCTTATATATAGGTTGATTCAAGAATAAATTAACGACTTATCTCGGATAGCTACGATTATACGAGTGTGAGACTATAAGATAGTGACCATAAGAATACTACTGCCCTGAATTGTCTACTATTCACGCGCAAAGTTCACCGACCAAGAGAGAGGATATTATAATCGATATTTAAGGGAACGATTAGTCGCGATTAGAGAATCGCGGCGACTCGTAAATTACGCACGAATACGAATGTAATAATCGTGTCCCGTAGAATACGTACAGTTTATAATGCATCGGAGCTGTTTACTGAGTTTGCCGATCGGTATACGTCGAAAGTATTTTTAGATAAAGCTTTTTTTTCACGTCTTTTGCAGTCTCATTTTTATAAGATTAACATAACGAACATTCTAAGATTGTTACGAACAAAAGGAAGGGAGAAGAATAATAGAAGCCATTAAGCAAATCCGGTCGATGAAATTTTCGGATTACTCGCAGATTCATCAGAAGCAATCGGAAAAAAAAAATTGATAAAGTTATGCAGCGTAAAAACGACGGAACTTGCCTTCATGAAAAAAAAAAAAAAAATCCGTTTTTATTGAACCTTGAAGAAGTGGGACATTTTCCTCCTTCGTAAAAGTCGACACTTATATCCACGATTCGCGTTCGTGCGATGTTCTTTTACGAGGCAAAGAATTTCACACGAGCGAGCGGAACTCCTCGCGAAGTCGCGTCACGCACACAAGATCCAGGAACTTTAATCCTAGAACCCGACTATTCAACGCAAACATAGATCTGACCATGAGGAGAAATGAATAAAGAAATCGTGACATGGGTAACGAAATTGGAGACAATTTTTCTCGCATTTTTACTCAGGATAATAATACGGTAGTAAATTGTTGTTATCTAAATCACTGTGTTTTACATGCAATCTACTTTCGTGGTTTTTTATGCAATAACGAGATGAGATATAAAATCGTTATTTACAAAGAATTGTTTATTCGGAGTGGAAATCTCATGAACATTTATCGGGAAGTAATTCTACGGTCGGGTTCTACGACTAATCGCGAAACAAAATCCGAAATACGACGACTCTCATACACGACTGCCAATTAATATTTTAGTTGGGTTAATTTTTGAAAATTGCGTCTAATTTTTCTCTCCTCTCTTGCCTTCGATTTGTTTATCTACTTTTTGTAATCTTTATTTTTTTTTTTGGGAAATTTATTCAGTCATTAGTTTCGCTTGTCTAGTTTTTTGAAATACGTGTTTAGTGTGCGCATGATTTGTGTGTTGCGATCATTACGATTTATATGATTCTTATTACACATATTTACAATATAATTATAAATTTATATCGCCGTAGCTCTTACGTATCCATAACCGTCGCTGCCGGCAGTAGCCGCTATCACCGCCGTAATTATTATTAGTAACCACTGTCGTGATTAATCACTAATCTCGGGCGATAAGGAATCGAGATCGGTCTAATTTTGACTAGTTTGGACTTTGAAAAAATATGTCAACTATTCTTGAACTTATCGAACGGAGCAATTGGAATATTCAAATAAATTGTTAAAAACAACAATATTCCACAATGAATTTTAGATTACAAAATTATTTTTTAATGATAAAGAATGAAAGTAGTTAAAATTATAAATTCTAACTAAAAAGTTGCAGAAATTAAAAGTCACAGTTATTCTTAACGTTGGAAATTCATTGAATGAATTTCATTTACTTATTCTCCCGTTTCGCGACGTTGTTCTTTCGACTGGAACAGCGGGACGATTGGTGTAAGGTATATTTTCCTTTGCTATTCTTTCATGTCGAAAATTGAACTTGGCGAAATTACACGGTTTCGATTCCTGAATAAGAGACTACAAAAGGAGCGCGGTTCGATCTCGAAGGCCTGGTCGTATCCGGAACGGGCGGTCTTTTACCTCAAGTGCCTGTACACACATGTACACTACATACATACCCACACACATGTACACATACGCATTGATCGCGCCTCCCCCGCGAGGCTCACGCGAAAACACCGACGATCGATCTCGATGTGACGAGGTCTTCGACCTAAATCTTTTTACGTCTCTTTTATGTCTGTTCGCAATGCCTGGGTTCTTAGATATTAGTCCACAACGCATGGCATGCGCTTTGTTATCATTACTCCCCTTCTTATTTTTTTTTTTTTTAACTTAGCGATACGTCACGCCGAGCCTCATCGACGGCGACGTTCCCATTCCATACACGCCGTCCCCGTTTAGGTGGAGAACGCGGAGAACGTGGAGAACTCGTTCACGGCATTTGTTACGACGACAGGGTATCGGATTTTGATGATGGATTTTTTTTAACAATTTCTATTTTCCGTATAATAAGAATCTCAAAGCAGCTTAATTGTATAAATTTATGATTAAAAAGTGAAATTTTATGACTTAAGACTATCTAAAAGCTCTATAAATTAAAATTAACTGATTCTCAAGAGCTGCTTTATTTTTCTGTTTATTTCAAATTTAGTTTCAGCAGAGATTTTATTTAAAAACAAATGGCTGAGAGATATTTAATATTGAAAATTGAAAGGTTTTATATAAAAATGTTTTAACAATGGAAAATCAATTTTATACGTGCCCATCAAAAATCTATCATTAAAATTTGATATGGTAAAAATGTGACATAGATATACATAACCGAACATAGCGTAAGAAGATCTTTATCAGATCTTAATTATCACAATTATATTGAATAATATTACCGATTGGTAATCTTGTAGTGGCCCGAGATATATCTCGACGTTTGCACAGTCCAACAAAGTTTTATCGAGACTGAGGCACACAGAGCATACTATCGCGAATTTATGGAAAACAAATACGTCTGCAAATCTAACGAATACCGGTTACAAAAACAGTAACTTTTCCCGCAAATGTATTCCCACGCCTCGGAACTAGAATAACCAATAACATCCTAAATCTCCAGAGAAAAAAAAAGGAAAGAAAATATCGGATCTAAGATCAGAAGTGAGCTTCATTGGTAGTCGATTTCTTAATTCTTATCCGATTTCTTTTATCCGCTCTTCTGTTTTTTAAGTGATAGAATGATATTGATTAATCTGGTTTCAAGGTTTCAACACTTATTGCGTTGTGTCGATAATATTAAAGTCGATTGAGACTTTTAGCCACAGGTGTGATTAAATATCGTGATAAATAAACCCTGATGGAAAACAAGCACCTCATTTCCGTTTACAGTCGTAAAAATTCGACTGGATTTAGTC